TCTTTGCTTCCAGATTCTTGACTCTCTTTGCTCTTGCTGTCTTCCTTACTTCCGGAGTCGCCCTCGGTTGGAAGTGGGGTCGTTACAACCTCCCCGCTGCCCTCTCCGCTGTTGCTACCTTCTTTGCTTCCAGATTCTTGACTCTCTTTGCTTTTGCTGTTTTCTTTGCTTCCAGAGTCGCCCTCGGTTGGGACAACTGTGGTCGTTACAACCTCCCAGCTGCCCTCTCCGCTGTTGCTACCTTCTTTGCTTCCAGATCCGCTGTTTTCTTTACTTTCTTTGCTTCCTTTATGAAGGAGAATATTGAATGTTTTAATTTCCATTAAAAGATTTTTTGAAATTTTATGGAATAATACAATTTTATCTTTTATGATTTTTTAAATCATTTTGTATTTTATTTTTTAAATTAATCTTAATTTACTGTATATTTTTATTATTTTATAATTTTTAATAATTTTTTTTATACAATACATAGTGCGGGCGCGTTGATATATTTGATTAAATAATTAATTTTTCATATTTATATAGCTGTATTACTCCGATTTTTCAATGGCATATTTGAAAATTAAACTAAGTTCAATATGACTATGAATTAGCTTGTTCTTTATATGAACATCAATGTTTTATTGACATGACATTACTACAAAATCAAAATAAGAATAGAGTAAAAATATTAGTGATGTATGTGATGAAACAAGACCTATAAAATTGTGTTTTGTGATATAGTATGTATCATCAGATATCACACAACATGAAATATTTATACCGAGGAAAGTGGAATTAATCGTTTATGAATATTAAAATAAATTATTTTTAATAGAAAGGGTTTATAATTCATCTTTTTTTAAATTATCATATTTCTTTTGATTTATTAATTCCGAAGTAACATTCAGCGATATGACTGGTGAATCTGATCCTTCTTACGTGTTATGTTAAGCTCCATTTTGAGGCCGGTGTTCTTCAAATTTTTTCGAATATTTAAAGTTCAATATTTTTGAAGAATATTTTTATGTCTGTAACGTATTTATTTTATTTACTAAATTAATGATAAATTAAATACCTGAACCATGCTTTTTTAACCATCGATAAATGCACACTCCTCTTCCACTTCTCATGGGATGTGTGCAGATTCCATGTATATATGAGAAAGCTTTGCGAGGTGTGCATTTGTGAACTAACTGAACAAATTTAGGCCGAAATATGCTGCCTCCAGTTCTTATGCATTCATAATATTTTCTGCAATCGTTTACGTCGGCATAGACACCTGATCTTCTACATTTAAATGGCGTACGATATCGAGGAGGATATTGTGGTTGTTGGAGAATTGTATTTGTTGGTAACAATTCATTGTCCTGACTATACGTTTCTGAAATGAAAATTAGATTATGTAATATAATAAATGATTATGCCCATTTTTTCGTTGCCTTTACTAGTATACGATAATTAAACTCATTGTATTTTTACAGATCTTTTCTGATTTATCTTTACTTTTTTTATAAATTAATAGAAGTATTTTAATTTCTTACCATTCTTAACATTGTAGAGTTCCTGTCCATAGCTCGATCGATAATCTTTCGCGTTAAATTGACCGTGACAAAAAGATAGAAATGCAATTAAGAGATAAATAGTTTCCTGCATTGTAGAAAATTTAGTTCATCTGTAAATGAAGAAAAATTCAAGAAGTAGTGTTTTATTACATTGCCTGCTGGAAACAATACTTTATCTTTCCAATAAAGTAATAACTTTGTAAATAATAAATTTAAAACTGGATATTAGTTTGTACACAAAGTTTTCATCTTGCAACCGTTAATATTATAAAAATATAATTAATATGAAATTACCACAGAAACAATCTTCGTTAAATCCCGATAAAAATATTGTGCGTGATAAAAACGAAGTGCCAAACGATGCAAAAGAATAAGCTACTTACTTCGCTGTTGAACTTTTGATGATCTCGTAACAGCGAGATGATTCGACCACAGTCTGTATCTTTTGACGGTCTACAGAGTTATAACATTACAAAATATATATATAGTGAGTTTTAATATATATGTTTGTAGGGGGATACATTGCACGTGTCAACGTATGTAATATTGATAAATCCACAACCGGTTTCCAATTGAATAAATTCAAAAGAAAGCTTTATTCAATCCAATGTGTAATTAAAATTTACGTAGCACATGCGTCGTTATAAATTAACAGATAATTCTGATATTGTCTCATAAGATATACATATATATTACTGAATATATATGTAATTGGGATATTATGTTAATAAACATAATTAAACAATCAATATAAATGGCTTTTCTTAAAAAGTAATTAAACAAAGTTAATAACGATACATGGTTGCCATTCTTGCATGTTCTAAAAGTAAAAGACAGAGGATTCCGCAGAGGATAGTAGTTTTAATATTAGTTAATTATTTCAGTTTATTTTCAGAATACAGTTACAGATAACAGTTAAAGATGCCTGTTTATTTTTTAAAATTACATTTGTGGGAATGCAACATTTATAGATAATCTTCAACAGTAGACGTTCTCAGGGCCGTAAGAAGACCAGCTTCGATACCAACTTGCCACTTGTCTCAATATTAGCTCACGCGGCAATACATATTATGTACAAAGCATATAGCAAGCAGATAAAAATAAAATTAGTTTATATTGTGTCGTTAAACAGAGAAATTTCTCGAACGTCGTAGATACATAAAGTAAATAGAAAGTTATCCATATCGATGTACATGACTTGTGTACGTCAATCTATTCGAATGTTCGGAAAAGTAAATGATAAGACGTGTAGCGATTCAGTTGCATTATCCAAATATCGTTATTTTAATTCTGACAATTAACGTCACATTCCGGCACGAGTTCAGTTGATAAGACCAATGACATTTTCCTGGCTCATTTGTTTAAGGTTTGACAATCCAAGATCCTCTGTGCTTCGATCTGCAAGTGGCAATAGATAAATCAAATTTAATAAATCGTGAATAACGATGCATATCGCTTTCACAATTATTTTGATAAATATTTGCCGTGATATTTGCAATAAATAAATGGGTATTATATTTCGAATGTCGCACAATAATTTACGGTCAGCGATATCATATCGAAATTATAAATCTTCCACAATTAAAATTAGTATAGTTAAGAAATGCACGAGCAGATTAATTGTGTTTTTATGATAACAACCACTTGTCACGGCTTATTAAATTTTCGAATTAACTCCGCATCTTCGTAGCTCATACCTGAATGAACGAATATAATTTTAACAATTGTTCCAGCGATGCACCTTGCGACGAACAATCCGTGCCACTCGATCTAATTCGCATATCTTGGCTCCTTTTACCTTGGCCCCATCCGGTAGAAAAATTTAACTGAGCTTCACCATTCGCAATAAGAATTAAGAAAAGAAATGCTATAGCAAATAAGCTCATAGACATCTTACAGAACCTTAAAAAAAATTTGTTATGTATATACATTGTATTGTTAGAAATAATAGAAATTATTGTGCTTCTGTGTAAAAATATCAGCTATAAATAGCGGCTCTTGGAAATATTGTAATGAATTGAATTTATAATGTAAATGATTAATATTTATTTTTAAGTATTTATTGTTTACGTTAAGTAATAAATATTTATGTTATATCGTAATAATAAAATATTTTTGAATATTTATATAGACGACACCGTGGACGTGTTGTAATAAATATGCATAAAGTATTATACGTATGTAAAATATGCTTCAAACTAAAAAATATTTCTCGCAAATATATAACGCATATAATAATGCAATCAAAAATACGAATGATAGCTATATATGCAAATTTTTATGAAGAAGAATTTATAAATTTTCTGTATTGTAGAAAAAGAATTTTCGAAAAACTGTTAATAAATAAATTCACAAATCTTTAGTGGAAACACGTGGTGAGAAGGCTCTGATATCTTTTTTTTTTGTATCAATAACTGCGCGCTTGTTTGAAGCACTTGTATTTATTCGCGTATCGAACAGACCGCGTCAGTTTGTCGCGATCATTGCGAGCAGATTTGATTGTTTGCAACGGGCCGAAAAATCATCGCACTATTTTCACGAAAAATGAAAAGAAAAATGAAAGAAAGAAAAGGAAAAAGGAAGACTCACATGGCAACACTTTCTTATAGATAGATGTACAGAATCTATTATTCGTTAGAGTTAACGCACGCAATACCGAGTGTGCAAGAGACCCCGTTTACGAGAGTCCTAAGATGCGGTTGCTGTTTATATACATTACTGGACCCCTTGCTGCAACGCGCGCGCACATTACAACATCTCGATAGATTCGATCACTATTCCAAGAGGGATAATGAAAAGTCTGCGCCGGCGTTAAGCGTTTCGCTTTACCATCCCGGAGATCGTTTCTCGCGCGATCCCAATACGGAAGTTGACACGTCAATTGAGATATACATAAGAGAGATTATGAGCGATACGCTGCATAGAAATAATTAGATCATTTAGAGATACGGTTACACTATTGCGGTTCTCTTTATAATTTTGGATGATTGCGACCTCAGCCCTCAGCTATCGGTTGTTTTCTGTTTGCACACGCGTATGCCGCAATTAATATATGTTTAACAAACAACGTCGATGAAATTGCAGATTCTATCATATCATAACTGCATCAAAATTAATGTTGAATATTTATTTGCTATATTAGTGACGTCAAGATGTAAAATTATACAATCTTGATGTGCCAGCTTTTTTAATGGCTTTTTCTTACATAGAAAAGGCGTTCCGTGCAATTAAGAAAGCAATGATCCAACATGAAACAAAGATAAAACAGAGATAAAATAAGTTAGAGGCGTAGGATACAATTTTTTTTCATAACCGTGGCATTTTGTTTTTGACAGAAAGTTTTTTAAACGTTGAAAAATTAATTAGAAACTTTGTAGTGTTAAAAAAAAATGTCTTCACTGTTTATTTCTTCTCCATCAGTTGCTTTTGATTTAAAAAAAAGAGGAAAAAAGAGAAAAAGGAGAAACAAAAATTTCGCCAAAACTGATTTGCATACATTTGCGATATTATTCTTAGTGCAGTATCAATCAGATTAGCAATGCCCGTTTCATTTCAAAATGTTAAACTTAATGCAATCAAAGCGCAAGCCATTTATACAATTTTTCACATCACATGATTAAAGGAGGAAATTATATCTACCAAAGTAAAATTAATCATGTTTAAAGATCATTAAAAACCGTTGTGACAACAATTATTGAGATATAACACACTTGTACAAATAAAAACATTTCAATTTCAGCACGTGTTACTTTACGATAGGAAAAAAAGACGGACAATATAAATTTCGACGTAACAGCTTTTTTTTCCACGGAAATGACGTCCATTTCTTCCATTTAAAAGTATTTTGGTACGCAAATGTCGTCATTGTGAGGATTACGTCCAAAGAAGCAAACTGTATCGCTTGCGTCATTCGTTGCCAAATTAAATTAGCGTGTGCGACCATGACACTCGAGGGCTTCCGACTAATTTTCTAACGAGGGACATAGCAGGATGTGAAGCCTCATCGATTGCTTTATCAATCAATGACATGACAATACATATCTAACAAAGTATATTGAATTCACGTGACGGTATCGTAGCGCCATCGTATATGTCGTAATATTAAAAAATTACAATTCTTTAAAAAAAGACCTTTCTTTTGTACGATATTAGCGGGGAAAAATAGGACATTATATATTCGAATTTCACTTTATTACTACAAAAAGAAAATTACACAACGTTTTCGAGCTAAAGGTGGATCGAAGATAAAGGATAATGGTGCGCTCATATGCGTTGCCGTCGATTATCACATATTAAATGGTTCACGATAGTTCTTATTTTTCTAAATAATGTACAAGCTTGTTACACGCACGCGCATTACATTTGTCGTATATATATATATTTATATTCTTGTATCTAATTACTTGAGTTTTTTTTACAATACGTTTTTATTAAAGAGTGTAGAGTAATACATTATAAGACCCAATTAAAATTTAGTCATTAAGATCGCGTGTCAAAAAATGCATGATCTTGCTTTATTTTAAAGGCAGTGTCGAGTAAACATTTATCAACAGCATTTACGAACTCTTTATGCTTTATGACCTATTGTTCATCTTTGCGAATAATAGAAATGACAGTTACAGATGTATGAAATTGGTGAGGAATAATGATAATGTAACTTTTTTTTTACAGTGCCACGAAGTGAAGTAACGATTATACAAATTTCATGGGCAAAGTCTCTTCGAGGATCTTTTAACAGGTGAGTAAGAAAAACGTTTTTTCGCAGAAAATTATAAAATTCTTATGCTCCTGTATACATGAGCTAATCTCGTTAACGGAATAATTAAAGAAAATTCGAGCAATATTTAGTTGTTGTACGCCCGTATGACGGATTAAAATCTATTACAATTATTATACACTAATCTTTATCATATAAACTTTATATTGAAGTAACATCTTTGAACAACGCTTGCCAAATATCGCCTCAATGTAAAAAGGAAGTGAACAGCACGGCAGTGCGCAAGAGTTAAATTTTAACATAGATAAATCCTTATGGGTCTATTATATTTTATCCATCGGTCATCTTAATCGTTGTTCAATGGCAAGCCCCTAAATAGCTTATAGACATTCCTAGAGGAACGTTCGCGAAATCTGCTCCTCAACTCTTGAGATCACACGCGTCCGCCTAAAATTACGTTTCTTATCATATACATGTATGTCATACCTACACGAGTTGGATTTCACGATATGTATTAGGACTGCGCGGTACGTTGAGTTCTTTCCAACATCCAATCGACAAAAAGCAAGTACTTATATCTATCTTGTAACCATCAAATTATAACATTTTATTGTGATTGCTTTTATGCATAAAATATGCTAGATCAATTTTATATTTCTCAAGTATAAAAAACACGATTTAATATTTCTCGGTTATTTATGCGGTTTCGCAAAGAGTGAATGAATTATTGAAAAATTACCGAATATAATAATTATATATACAAATCTTGTCAACACGAGTTTGAACTAGACTTATACTTAGAAAATACGTCTAGAGGACATCATAATATTCGTTTTACCACAACGTGTGCTCGCGATACGTATCAAAATATATTCGACAAACGTTTCTTCATTGCACATCTATCTCCTCGTCGATGAGTTATAAAAAATGTTAAAAATCTTAAAAGCGCACGAATAACCGAGGAACATTTGTGCGTCTCAACGTAACCACCTGCAGGTAATACATATGTCACCTTTATTGTATAAGAACCTTAAAAATAAGAGCATCCATTTATACATAAATACTTATCAACCGCATGAAGATGTAGAGAAAATGACAGCATTAGTATTATGAAACGGTGGCTGATCAATGAAGAACATGAAGAACAAATATGTCCATGACGAAGATGTGCTATCGTCGCGAAACTATTTGCGAGCCGTGATACACAGTGACCTTACGAGTTATTATTCGCAAAATGAGGAGAAAGATCAACGTCCAAAGCGCGCTATGGCACTCGATCTTCATGCGTCGGTTTTTCGTTTGTCTATTGACCCGCAGTCTGGAATACTCGGATTATTTGCTTATAACGATAAAGTCCTACTAGCGAAGTAACATTACGGACAAACTTGCGATGAGGACGATTTTTTCGACTCTCGCGAGAAGTATACACGTATAAAGGATGGATGTATACCCAGTAAGCAAAAAATGTCAGCAATATGCTAGCAGATTTAAACAGAATATTGCAAATAGATTGTTAGCGGAAACTGAACAGAATGTCATTTCGTAGCCATTTAAATAGAATATGTCATTTTCGACGGTTAATCTGCCATTCTATCGATTTTCGGTTCTATTTCTGCTGACATTTTTGCCGACGAAATTTATAGTATACGCTTTGCAAACACTTTTTCGATTTGACTATCTGGGTATGTATATGTATGTGTATAATACATATATATGCATATATGTATATATGCACAATTTTATAATTGCATGTATACATAATATATATGCACATATATATACATATTTATATATTTATATACATTTATATGTGTATTTATATATGGAGGGGTTAAAGCCATAGTGGTATGACAGTATGACTTTAACCCCTCCATATATTTATATATGCATATATAATTGCATATACATATATACACACATACATACTTACATTTTGGAACATAGATCGAATATACCAATACGTACACAATTGTACGTGTCCACCTGATAATACAGATGATATCGTTACGCATATGCTCATAGCGTCATACATCATGTACGCCTTTTTTTTCATTCGCATACATAATTATTAAAATATTATATAAATTAATAGAAGAGTGGCGCTACTTTTTTTTATTCTCATAAGAAGAGTTGTCTCTATATTCTTTTACAATTACCTCATTGATATCGCTTGACATTATTTATTTTCTTATCTCTATATATATATCTCTTTATATATTCATATATATATATACCTTTTCTTTATATAATGTATAAAAAATAGTCTAGAAACCTTGTAACTTGACGATTACCAAATTCAAGAATACAGATCAGCAATTAACAAAAATTATATTCTCGTTGTAGACTACTGATTACAAAACTGTGATGTATTATTGACGTTTGATGAATTGATGTTGTTCGATTCTCCTTGCTACTGGAATGTAATGTAATATTTAAAGCTAATAATGCATATATAGGTGAGTGTTTTCTTGAATCTGGCAGTCTTCGTGCTTAACGAAGTTACTCAAGTCTTCCTAGACGGCGAGTTCTAAAGTCAGTCACATAGCATTTCGTCGCTATTACGCAATTATAAAAAAATATTAACAAAATAGACAGTAGCTCTTTCTCTCGTTCTAACTCGATGAATGAATAATTTAAAAAATTGGCTTAATACTTTGCCAACTTGTGTACAGCAATATTTTTAACGTAAAGAGAGGAGAGAGATATCGTATACCAAATGTTAATCAGTGTTTTTTATACATAGTGTGATGTTTCGTCCAAAAAGCTTTCAAGAACTAAAAACCAAATACTCGAAATATAAGAAAAAAGAAGGAACAGGTTTTATGTGTATCATTAACTTTTCTCACGTGCGTTTTCTTTGATCTTTATTTTGAAAATCTTAACAAAAATTTCGGCAGTTTTTCTGAGTCGCTTTGTACATTATTCCCTAATAATAAATATAAGTCTCCAAACAGAATAATCGACGAAGTATTAAGCCGTTTACATAATACAACATTTATGCCGCTGCGCTGTCCTGATACTTCTAACTAATGGAGTGTCGCTTATTATAATCCGTCAAAATGCAGTATGTATTATAATTATAATTATAGTTGTAATTATGTTTAAGTAATTGAGTTAAAAGAGAAAAAAAAAGGAAAGGATGCATGGAAATGTCGATTGTCCAACTCGTCGAAGTACATACGAGAACACAATAATCCAGAACTTTTACTGTTCACATTCGTACAGTGAACGCACTATTTTCTCTCGCCTCACATATACACATATATCACTTCTAGTGTAAAAGTATAACATAAATGCGCTAGGTTTTATCGACACGATATAAAAATTCATTTTAAGGGTCAGTATAAGATACGCATCACTTTCACGAGTAAACGAAATTTATATAGTGTCCGTATAGTCACTCATGATAATCATAAAGTTTGTTCCGTCCACTAATAAATCACGCGCGTTAATTACACATTGCGTTAGTAGGCGTATCACACGCTCTTTGTCTCTTCAACCGTCGAACTAAAGTAGTCGGTGAATGAGACCACATTTAAGTACAATGAAACCTCGTTTCTTTCCAATTAATTGGAAGCTGGGGCTGTGGAAACGCACGAACCTGCACAGTGTAAACTCTGCGGCGTGTATGCTCCTAATTATGGTTACATGAATCACAATCGGGAGCGAATCTGCAAGCTGTGTGCATTTTCTGGCAAATAAAATAACGATCATTTAATTATAAGTAATATATTGTAAAAATTGTAATACTGTAGTATATTATAAAACAAAGCAACTACGTTAAAATTACCTGCGTTAAAATTTTATATCTATGTTGTCATTTAGGAAAACTCAACACCAGCTTTCGCTCTCTCGTTCACCGACTCCGTCACTTTCCTCGTCACTTGGATCTTCTCCATACATATCTGCCAATTTTCTAAATCTTGGTCCAAAATTAGATAGATAATTAAAATTGAGATCTCCATCATCAGTGCCTATTGATAAAAAGAAAACAATGAAATTAATTAAGAAAACGATACAAGAATATATAGTAGTAATATAGTAGATAAGTTTAAGAGATTTTCTGAGATTCAAAAATACTAACACGAAGCTAATGACGATAGGTCGCCTTCGGAATTCCCTTCTCCCTCGTAAGCATAATGCCTTACATCGTCGAATGGATTTGTATCGGGATCTTTATCGCAGCTTTCTTTCTTTCCATCTAGAAAGCCACAAATGTCTGGAACTTCGTCGGTTCCTATATAGAAAATTTTCTCTTTAATTTTCGTATTTTAAAATAATCCATAACGCAAATAACACTTTAATCTGTCGTTATCATACCTCTACCCTGTAGGCCAATTGGAGCTATCTTAGAATCAATAGGTGGTGCGTCGTAAATGGCTCTCAAGACGTTTAAATCATAACCCGCATCAGTCTCACCGCCTCCCTCGTCCTCGTAATTAATAATATTTTCTCTGATATCATCCATATCTTTATACAGATCATCCGTCTTTCTCCTATGCACAACTACCGCCACGAGCAATATTAACAATATCAAGACGCAAACTAAAATAGCTACTATAAAATTCGTGTCAATTCCGAACGAGATGGCCTTTGCCATGCCATGATCGCAGCCAGGATCCGCATTTCTGGACAGCGATGGCATACCTAAATTAAACGTCTGAAACAAATAAAAGGATATATAACTTAATCTCTCTCCACAATTTACCATAACTACGCCTATTATGATACGTCTTCATTACTTACATTTCCATTGAATGTCATATTGCGTATACAGCCAACAAATCCTTTGTCAGTTGGTTTATGATCCCATTTCAAACTTGATGCTAAGTGCGCTAAATTAGTCAATGTACCACCTACTTGCATCGGACTGTTAACGTTTAAAAATTCACTGGTGCCTTGCGGTGCAGTGAGACTCATGCAAGCGGATATGCCGCACTTATCGACTATCATCTCTATCGACTGGAAAAAAAAAACAAGCACGATTAAGATAAATTGCATAATTGATTTAAACAAAACGATGCACATGTAACGAGAATTCTTACAGTTTTCTTCCAGTAAACGTCTATTCTGTGCCTCTTGCCGTCCGTTAATTTGATTTGTCTCTGATCTAGCCTTACAGTGCCCGTTCCATAGTCAACATACAATACAGCGAAGCCATGTTGAAGTTCCAAAGACATGAAATCCTGAATTCCAAGCTTCGGATTGTAAGTCATGGGACCGAAATAGAATACAAGACCATTGTCCACGTGTGGCGTTATCTCCAATCCTACGATAATCACACACACATGTGAATAAAAGTGCAAAAATGAAGAACGGAAATGGTGTATTACACTTACCTAAATGTGAGTCGTCGCAAGCTTGACCAGGCGGCGGCATTATAGCCCAACCGTCTCCGTGAAATCCAATGCCCAGCAGTTCGCATTTCGGCCCTTCTAGACCAGGCGGACACTCACATCGTTCTGCCAGAGGCGTACCACCGTTCAAGCAGACGATAGGTTCCGCTACGTGGCAAGTGCACTGCGGATCTACGACCGCCCTAACACCGACAAATGAACTGGTATTGGTGTAGACGACATATGGAACGGTGCTGGCGTTCAAGAAGTTGCGGCATGAATTGTTGCAGTGGAGCTTCTCGAATAGGCACTCGTCAATGTTCATCAATAAGATATCCGCTTTCATCCCCCGTTCGATTTCTTTCGAATGCTGCGCTATAATCGTATTCAACTTCTCGGGAGCGTAATACGGACTGCCATGCGCCGAAAATCGGACGTCCAACAAGCTTCTATTGTTGTGATGAGGCGAATGAAGTACAGTGAACACGTCGACATTCTCGACCGATGTATTCAGCATAGTTGCCAATTTCTCTTGGAATACCTCCTTTTTACTGACACCCGATTCGTCAGGTTCCACAAATTCCTCCGCCGTCAGTCCATGAAATCGTACGGAACCGGATCTGTCAACAGCTTCTTCGGGAAGTTCCTTGACAGTGACGTTCACGTAGGCATGTACTTGATGCAATGGAATAGTTTGGCCTTTCTCGGTGACGATAAATTTCAACACGAAGGTGTCGTTTGATGTACCCGACAGTAAAGTGATCATACCGGTACTGGTATTAAGATGGAAACCGTCGTGAGGAGAAGCCCAATCGAAAGATTTGTCCGGCAGATCCCAATCATCCGGATCATTAACATAAACGCGTCCGATTTCCGTGTCAGGAGATTCTCCTTTATAATTGTAAACAAATATAGAACTCGAGCCCTCCCGCATAGGATTATCATTCTCGTCGCCTATGATCACAGTAAGCGTCGAAGTACCCGTCATAGGTGGCACACCACTGTCCGTGATTGCGATCGGTATATCGTAACTTTTCCGCTCCTCTCGATCAAACACCACTCGCGCATATAAACTAGTCTCGCGTATATCAAATTTTTTTGTGATTTCCTGGTCCGCAGTGATGTCAATTTTGAACTCAAATGGCGGGCCATTCTCCTCGGAGTCATAATCTCGTGCTCTAAGCTCGGTTATCATGCTGGGTGGTTTATTTTCACCCCAAATTACTGGGTAAGGCATATCGAGAAATGGTGCGTTGTCATTGATATCTATGAGAGTAATATTAACCTGCACCGTGGACCTAAGAGCCGTAGGCGAATCATCCTCGTCTCTTGCCATTACGGAGACCTGACAAAAACAACAAAAAAAGAAAATTAAAAAATTAAATTTATTTCTTAAAATATTAGGTCCTAAACATATAAGTAATAACTTACAATCCACGTAACGTGACCATTCGGTGGGTCACGATCTAATGGGTTTTTCAATTTCATACAGCCTATTTTGTCGATTCCTATTAAGGGCCGTTGTTCTTCCTTGACGATGAAGTAGGCAATATGCTGATCGGCATTTCTATCTTCGATATCAGGGTCATAAGCCACCACAGTGGTGATACATCCTAAACAAACAGTAACAAATTTTGTTAGAAAAAAAAATTTTAATTTTGCCGGATTATTCGAAAATTATCGCGTTAACATTTTACTTACCGTCCACCAATTTTTCTTCCTCTATCGTCGGATTTTTGTTGAAGTCTTCGAAGACCGGCGAATTGTCATTAACGTTTTCGACAAAAATCTCGACTTGCGCCGTGTCATTAAACACACCGTCGGACGCTCTCACAGTCAAATTGTACTTGGTGATTTTTTCATAATCGAGCGGCTTGTTCACGCGAATCACTCCCGATATAGCTTCAATATAAAAACTGTCGTCGGTGTTTCCCGATATGATGCTGTACGTGACAGAGCTCGCCGTATCGGGATCGTTGGCTTTGACTTCAGTCACGGCCGTGTTAATGTCGGCGCTTTCGTCAATCGAATTATGAGTGTACACTTTCCGGGTAAAACGAGGCGGATTGTCGTTCTTATCAGCGATTTCGATTTGGAAATCCTGTTTTCCTTCATTGTGCTCGCCGTTTTTGCGCAAAGCACTCGGAGCATTATCCGTTGCTATTATTTTCACACTGTAGATATTTTTTACTTCTCTGTCGAATGTCACTAACGTAGTGATATTACCAGTTTGCGGGTCGATGGCAAAGAGGTCCTTGAAGTTCTCCAACTTGTAGCTAACCTTTTGAGGATGAAAGTCGCGATATTGCGTTAAGTGCAAGACATAATGAAACTTTTGACGTATAAGTTGTAATAAAAGACGCTCTTACAGCACACAAAATATGACTTATGAAATTTTAATACCTGATTATTAGCGGACGTTCCATCAAAGTCAATGGCTCGCACTTGCATCACAGAAACTCCTCGAGGTTCGTTCTCTAACACGCTTCCTGTTTTGAGTTCACGGAAGACTGGAATGTTGTCATTTACGTCTAGAACTTCGATATCGACCACCGTTTCAGCAGCTAACTGATACTCGTTTTGTACTCTCACTATTAATGAGTATTGCGTGTTACTCTCGTAATCAAGATGGCGAGAGAGCTTGATATCTGCTACATCTTTATTGGATTCCAATCTGTAATGAACGTGAAATAAAATATTTTGTTGAAGTCTCGTTGAAAACGCGCGTTGGTTCGCAATCGTTAACATGTTTTGTTTCATATTACATAGAGTGAAAACACGTTAAGCGCAATTCGTGTAGTACCTAAAAGTGTTCCCCTTGTTGGTCTGTTCTGTTCGGCCGGTCACGAGCTCAAACGTTAGAGACGAATCGTCCGAATTATTAGAATTTTCGATGTTGGAAACCGCTTTCAAACGGACAATGCTAGAATCGAAATCGTTAAAATTCTCCTTAAGTCTGATCGGCTCCGGTGACCTCGGTAGAAAAGTTGGCGCCTTCTTATGCGATTCCACAACCCGTATGTTAAGCTCAATGATATTGCTCTGCGGGAATTCGCCAAGATCCTCGGCCCTCGCCGTCATACTAAATGTGTAATCTGGATTCCGCTGCACAAATTCATTATGACCATAATGCAGGACATTTATATATACATACATGATTTGTTAAATAAAATGGGGAAGCGGAAGCTTATCGAAAAAGAGATGGATCGATACGTTCCATTATTTATCAGGGTTTCGGGAATATTATTTTTAGTACACACAAGAAATAAGATAATATTTCTGTCGATTATTCAACAGACATTTTGTTTATTAAAAATAGCGAAAGAGAATACATTTACGTAACAAACTTCGCCGATGAATATAAAAATTTAGAACAACGACGGATTTTAATAAAAAACGACGAAACTATCGCTTAAACTATCAGATAAGTGTTACAAGCTCTAGTTTCGAAGTAATATTGTTCGAAGTAAAACAGAGTTTGCGTTTAAGCGCTATCCTCTTAATATCATTCCACCTTCGCATTACTTACGTCTATAGCCTTGTTGAGGAATATGACACCGGACTCGCGGTCGATCCGAAAGTATACAGCATCATCCGGTCTCTTAGGAGACAGACTATACCGTACGACGGAATTGTTGCCATTGTCGATATCGGTGGCAGAAACTCGCATGACCTGGCGACCCACCGGTAAATCTTGCGGCACAGATTCCGTGTATGCCTGCGTAACAAGCCAAAATGTATTAGCGACAACCGACAATCGCACAATACGTGCGCGCGGTTTCTAAAATGCACTTAGCGTGATGTATTCCATGCAATTTTCATACGAATCGTGTTTACGGTACAATTACCATTCCTAAAAGACCACACGTACATGCATGCTAATTTAATAATGATAATAAATTTAAATAATAAGATTCAATGATAATAAATTTACATATATATATATATATATATATATAATTATATACAATATAATTGGAAAATGTAGTTCGTCACGTTGCGCTGATAGTCGTCATAGTTATAAATCAAATGGAAAATCTCTGTATCTATGATGTCAACGCAAATTTTTATCTCGTACTCTTTTAAATTCTCATGGTCAAATCTGAAAATATTTTTTCAAGTGCGCACGGAAAGATATTCATTCGATACATAAAAATGACAATTTGTTTCATGAAATATGCAAACTGTGTGCATAAAAAAAAGGGAGGAAACAAAACTTGGGACACTTCTATTTTTTCATTTACATATCGAGCAACATTCACACCACGTATTCGGAACCAACCTTCCACACATATCCACGGAAGACCTGGGATTGAAATGAAACAAAAAATTCAAGCAATTGTTGTTAGTGGCGATAGTGGCTGTTATGTTAGTCTACGAAGAAAAAGAGGAATTTACGCGATATATATAAACGTACGGAAATCCACTGTAATAATTCACGAGCTACTCATTATCAAATTAATTCTCAACATTTCTATAGACATAAATGTTACGTTTAAAAATTTCTTACTGATATTTTATGTAACAACGTATGAGTCATACACTTAAAACTATTTATTTTCTCGTAAATTATTATTATTAATTAAAAGTCAGTAAAAAATTTCTTTGAAAGAATTAGTTCATTTCATTTTGGTAACGTTTTTATCGAAAATGAATCTCATATGAAAAGAATTTATTTTATATTTTCAACTTATACATATATTCATAAAAAATTAGCCTTTTAGCATAAAGAACGCACTATCATCCTGTAAATACGAAAAAATCTTCTACGGTCGCTCTTTCTTTTTTCAGTACAATCCGGCTAAGTCTATTACATCCGTATAATTATGGCGTATGCATAATGTAGACGCTTATTCGCACCACATGCACCCAGATTCGTATTTGCAGATATGAGCCGTAAGGAAGTTGGTAACGAGTTGGTAATTTAGGTAGTTAGCGAGACGTACCACTTTGTCGAAGACTGGTCCGTTGTCATTGACGTCTTCGATAGTGACTTTAAATGTGCACACGTCATCCAGCTCCGGCTTTCCATTGTCGGTTGCGAGTACCGTGAGATAAGCCTCCTTCTCTCTGGCGGGTTCGTCCCTGTCGAGCATCTGGGTCGTCGTGATGAGGCCCGTCTTGTTGTTGATTTTGAATTTTAATTTTTCCTCAGGACCAGTCACGAAGCTGTATGTAATGGTACCTGAAAATGTGAGGTCGGATCAGACGATCGTCGGATAATCGAGCTAGTATAATCGGATAATAGAAATTCGAATCTGTCCTTCGAAGATCTTCAAATAAACTCATGAAAATCAAATCATACGAAAATACGAGTTATTTCGGAAATATAATTCGAAATCAAACTTCTAAAAATCTTAAAAAATAGTTTAGTCTTGAAATTATTAAAGAAGTCTCGAATATCTAGAAACAATATCTTCCTAGAAATATTTCCTAAAAAATCTTTAAGCAAATTAATCATGTAAAAATGAATTATTTTAAAAATATTATTTAAAATCAGACTTCTGAAAATCTTGAAAAATAACTCAGTCTTGAAATTATTAAAGAAGTCTCGAATATCTAGAAACAATATTTTCCTAGGAATATTTGGATGCCTAAAACATATTTAAAACATGTTTGAAACATTTTTAAAATATATTTGAAACATATTTAAAAACATGTTTTCTCTTTTACAACACAGTTTACAACGTTATTTCCATCCACTCTATATTTATGTATAGATACAGATAATAATTTTGTTTTTAAGTTAAACGTGTTTTCAAATTCAACAATTTCAAAACTTCTTTAATAAAAAATTCATTTAATTTCGAGTTCAAATCAAATGAGACTCTTGTCGTATAAAATAATTCTTCTGCATAACATGTCGCAAGTGAACTATAATTACTTGCCTATACGCTCTATTTTCGTTCATCGCGGTTTGTTGGCATGAGAGAAAATAGTACGTATTTCTGCTTTATTAATATAATTAATAATGCGACAAGATATTTCCGTTTGCCTGATCTCATTGTGATGCGCGTAAATTCGTCAAAAATAATGAACGAATGGTGAAAAACATACCGGGGACACGGTACATGATTAAAAACAAGCTCAAACACGGATCGTGCATCATAAACTTTTTTTCTGTTTTAATTTGAGGTCGCGAAACTTTGAAGATCATAAAAATAGTTCGCGTGTACAACTTTTTTGTTTTTTTACCACGCGCATAATTTACCACAGACGTTTTATGCGTGACACGTGTGACATATACGCGATGATATCGCGCTGCCATACAATACCTCCATCCTCCGGCGGATCCCTATCCTCGGCATGCACCTGGATCACCACCGTGCCAGGCGGTTCCTCCTCCTTCACCACCGGCGCGTAATTCGAGCAATTGGAGAACACCGGCTTGTGGTTGTGATTTTCATCGAGCTGAAAGCGCAAGAGAAACGGACGGCTATTAGCGCGGGTGTTACTTCGGCGCGAGGCAGGCGCCCCACTCGAAAGATGTCCGGGGGATTAATCGGTAAACTTGGCATTGCGCGGGGGAGACGGGGGTGCGGGACGGGGAAAGACTTTGGAGAACAAGGCGCTCGATAAATCAAAGCGCTCCTCATAAACCAAGCGCCATTAATCACGGCGCGCGTACTCCGGCGGTCTATTATGTCGCGTTTCCTCATAAAAGATCCAACACACAGCCCCCCCGAGACGGGGGGGGGGACAGAGGATAGAAGCACAAAGTGAAAGAGGGAGGAAACGGGGGAATGTGGGAAAAAACGGAGCATCGTACTAAGGCGCTTCGTAATAATCGTCGTTCATGTCGACGATCTAGAGCATGTGGCAAGGTTGGCGCAAGTCCCGCGGCTTTGCACAAAGTTACGCGGCGGTCTGTTGCGTGTGTGTCTCGGTATAAGAGTCAATAGTCTCATAAATTATTGGTCGCAACCGCCCTCGTACGTTGCGTTACCATTTCATCGCGATTAGGATCGATCCGCTAATGTTTAACGTACGTAACCATCGTCGTGCATCATCGACCGACGTGGCGTTTAACTTTTAAACTAGACGGGGAATAGAGAAGAAGAGACGGTATGCATCGAATCGCGAGTAACGACCGGCGACGACGTGTAAAAAAATTTACCGAACGTTGTTGCGGAAAAACTAATTTCACGAATGATAGATATGTCCGGCGTCGAATTTCTCACCGATTCTCGCGCCTTAAATCCCCTGCCAAAACACGGGAGGTTGACGCTCGTAATAACGCTAAGTATCCCCGCGCATTCCCTGGGCGCGCGCGCGCTCACGTTAGACCGTTATCTTCAATGTAATTAAATGGTCGCGACATTAATATTCATTACTATTTTCTGTCCCACGGGGGATAACGATATTCCTGGGTAAACAACATTTGGTAAGAAATATAATCCGCGTGTGCTCGCGCCGTGTTTGCTCGCACGGTGGTGCATGCCTCGGCATCCCCAGCGAACCCCCTCAGACCGCTCAGAATTTCGCGCAGCACTTTGCCGACGTCATGCGTTACCCCCGATATAACGCCCAGCACTCGCTCTCGTACTTTCCAGCCTCATTAACGATAAACAAGTTAGCCGCGTTTTAGCATATTAACCCCGTTACGTTATATCCGCGGCTGATTCCTGCCGACTTGTCCGAAAGAAAATTCCGTCAATTAAAATCCGTAACTCTGGTATCTGCTGAAATCTTGAAAAAAAAAAAAATCATCCGTGAGGATTCCCTGATTTTCTAAGCGTTTTCGTTCGAATTCAGAGGCAAAATCGGAGCGACCTTAGGCGCAAGCTCAAAATAAATATAGAACTTTAAATAGATATTTCACGTTGCATAAAATTTTCATTTTTTTTATCCACAAGAAATAAAAGAAAATAGAGTCTCTTTCGTAAACGTAAAAAGATGTCAACATCTAAATATTGCAGTAATCTTTTTAAACGAGATTTATATAGCACTTCGGTACTAAAAATATGACATTTTTGTGCTCGCAAAACAGCTGAAAATAAAATCTTTGAAGAGACAATTTCGACCGAACGTTCTCCGGGTGTCCCGATAAAATTCTCCAAGAAGTTCTCTGATTTTTTTTTCAAGGCAAGCAAAGAGAAAGATTCTCAGAGTATCCCAGGTTTCCCAGGTTTCCCAGGTTCTTCTCGGTAGCAGACACTTTATAATTATTTACACCGTCGCGTCGCAGACATGCCTGTAGTAGCGAGAAGAAAAGTCCTCGAACGGAAACGAGAGTGCAGGTCACGACGAGAACTCCCCGCCGTCGTTAATACTGCTGTGCCGGTGTAATGAGACGCATACGCGATTGCGTTAGTTATTGCTGCGTTTCCGTTTAACGTCAGCGTGAATATGATATTTGAGTGAGTTCACGACGGTATCGTAAAATGAGCGAAGAAACTGACATCTTTACGCGTGTATGTATATCCGGATGAATGGCTTCCTCCCTCAAGGCACTTTGCGGCACAAATTTCAAGCTAACGATGCACACAACATGCATGGTCGCTCGAGATATACTCGACTGTTAATTTAATATTGAAAGCGAGAAAGCTTTCATGCGTTGCGAAGTTGCTCGCGATCTTTTTGCGCGACGTTTAATATGCAAAACAGCTTCACCGCGCGCGACCATCATCTCTGATTCGCAATGTGAGCTTAAAGGGTAAGGTAAAAGCAATAGGATTTCATAAAGGGGCTGAATATCAAACCTACTCGCTCTATTAACGTAGTGTCTACAAGAAAATTATATTTCATTACATACCATGCATCATGAAAAAGGTTACTACACCGCGGTAACGCGAACCCTTATTATTCTTTAAGTACTTAAATTTCTTCAAGAGAAATTTAATTAAAGTTATAGCGAGATACCTTACGTTGAAAATTGAAAGATCATGATCAATTGAACCCCCGTAAATAAAGCAAGGAGGCAGGCAATTTCATTTTAAATGTAAATATCAGAATTTCAGATGCATAAAAATAATTAAAATTTTATTCCGCAGCGTTGAAAGTATATATTTAATAAAGTAGAAATAATATTTATATAATTAATTAAAAAATCACAGATCCATTGCTTCATTCTTTCAGTTAGAGTCGATTACGAATAGATATTTAATTATACTAAAACGCTGCAAGTTTAAGTAGCCCCCTCTGTGTGCCACGTGGAATCTACAGGTCACATTTGAATTATAGGAAACTTCTCTGCCACGTCTGTCTGGTATTCACGAGATTAGATCCCAAACAAGTTCAGCGTCCAATTACGGGTCTGGCGAAACGGCAATTCTCGTCAGATCGTACCATTTGTCGAAATCCTGTCTAACGAATCATGCGCATGGAATGGCCCCCTATGGTTCTTCGTCCGCAAGTTCGCGTTCCTAAATATCCTACGCTTCGCCAAGCGAACTTCGGCGGCGATAACGTCAACGATTTACGAGCGATTCGTAAGCAAATCTCGAGGGCCGCTAACCAAGCACTTCTCACCAAAATGTCTCGCACTATGAACGTATGGCGCAACCTATTCATCGAATCACGACTATCACGAGTGATCTCTGCGGCGAATTATTTATGCATGACGATCGCACGAAGAGCAACATCGCGCCACGATGTCAGACCGGAGATGTAAGGCCGTTTCGCTGTTATGGCTCGTGTTTTGAACGCCGTCTAAACGCCGCGCGCCGCTGGAAATCACTGATTTTGCACGGATAACTCCCGACGAAATTGTGTCAAAATACGACACGCGGAGCAAAATGCGTTTACTAAGAATTTAGCTCACAATCAGTCTAATCCCGTTGGTATTTTCGGAACTTTTAAAGAAAGATGCTTAATAAAGGAAACTTCCTTCGGTTTATTAGCGCTTCTTTTTATAACGCAAAAGGAAATACAATTAGCTTGAAGGCCAACCGAATTACGTAATAATCAAGTTTTGAATCTAAATAAAGATCACGTCAATACCGGCAAACGTTTGAAAGCCATGATATTGATTGGCAAAGTACAAGAATCTTGCATCATAAACCGTCATATTACGAGTGTCCGATTTCAAGACGTTTCATGTAAAACAACAAAGGGAAAGCCCGAATCTGGCGCGAGCTGCTTAGTCAAACACGTCTTTCTGTCAGAGAAAAGTTTGCTGAGTAAATCTCGACTTTGGCGATAATACATGGTATAATATTTGCATTTAATGGATTCCAAAAATTAAATATTGTCCGCGTAAATACCACGACACGATTGTTGGAGATCACTGGTTATTGAGGTTTGTTTTATGCTAAACATAAAGAGATCCACGGTCTCGTTCAGCTAATATGAACATTTGGTTAAAAAGGATCTAAATAGAGGAGTGGTGATATCGATATTTCTGTGCGAGTATCATGAATAATTACGTATCTTTTAAATATTACATCGTATAAAAATCCGTGCTTATCGATATTGTATTAGCTTCAATATTTTTTTTAGAGTTTCAATTCTTCTAAAAACGTCAATCAAGAGCCAATATTTATTTCATTTAGCCTAATTAGCAGTAAAGACTTTAATCGACTCCACTGGCTATTATTATAATTGTTATGACAATATGACCATTTGAATTTGGTCAGATTAATCGTCAACACGTTTTGACCATGGATTTTGGTCCTTCTAAATTGATGTAATTTTGATGCTTATATATAATCATGCTTATATTACATCAACTCATATATTTAAATAATTTAATTCATTTCATTCTATTATTGTTTAGTTACATGTTATTACCACACGCCTCAATGATCAAATTGGTACGACACCCTTCACGGAATGAGGGAGGTTCCAGGTTCGAACCCTGGCTGAGGTAATATTTTTCGCAATAAATTAAATTAAATATAGAATGCTTATATATAAGCATCAAAATTACATCAATTTAGAAGGATCAAACCGTCTTGACGATTAATCTGACTAAAATCAATGGTCGTATTGTCATGACGATTATAATAATAGCCAGTAGGGTCGATTAAAGTTTTTACTGTTAATAAGCTAATTATTGACTGGCGAAGTAAACCGTTATTTATTCGGTTTATTTCATTTAGTTTCAAATCTAAAACTCTATAAAAATATATATTAAGATGCTAAAATAAAATATATTTTAAACTCGCTGCCTCGATCGCGACTTCTCGCACGCTCCATACATATCCAACGAGTGGCAATGAATTCAGGCCCCGCTCGTCGATGTCACATAGACTGCGCACGGTAAATATTTAAAGTGTTCGGCAGATAGGCGTTGAAGGAAGGGACAAATCCATTATCCAACTTGCTGGAAAGGTGGTTTATACGGGGATCTGGTTGGATCATCCCCGGGATCTCGGGTAGTAAAAGGAACCGGGCTCCGGTGTCTGAGACAGAAGGAAAGGAGTGTAAATGGTGGCGGCGGCGGTGGAAGGAGGGGGGGGAAAACGAGAAATCGAATCAAGAACGAATCGAGAAGCACTCACCGATAATACACCCTCGCCCAGAAACTGCGATCTCACGTCCAGGTGTCTTGAGTGCCTCAATCTCGTTGCAGACGCTGTAACATAAAGAAGAAACGGGGGATGACGATATCGCCCATTTAGGATATTGCGCCCGATAAGGCGCGGATAATCGCCCAAGAGCATCGTTCGGATTTAGGGATAATGCGTTACGCATAACATCATTTCAACGGAAGCGAGACCGCGAAACAGAACGAGTTTTTCTTATCGTATATAACATAAGTACAACATATCGCAACGTTGTTACATTAATAAGTCTAATGCATACTTGATGATACCGAGATAATTGTGGTAGGTGAGCATACATTATCACCTCTATGTAGATCTCATCGAATATAGTGCATTGAATACTTGAGCAGAATCGACGAAAATACGCGCTCTGATGAAAATATATTTAATAATATATGGAAATATGAGTCAAACGTTGAATTTATAATATCTAAGATAAGCGTTGCTCTCTCTCTCTCTTCCTCGTTAAATGGCATAATCCGCTTAATAATTATTTCAGCTCGCATTTAATCGTCCTATCGCATCTATTTTGGCCGTACACGGGAATTTTTTTTTCCCGGTGTTCGTTTTACATTTTATACGTAAATTTAAAATATCAAGCGCTCCCTCGATACGCATTTTTTGCGAGATTTAACTATCACAATCACGACAGCTCCCGCGTATATACGTGCAAAACGATGTAATGGGAGCGAAATATTAGGGAAAATTTGTAACTTGCGATGGAACAATCTTAATTAAATTTCCAGGTACTGAATGCTAATTGAATTAGAAATTACATATCTCGGGGCGAAACCCTCGAGGCTGCAAGAATCTTTATGCATCATTCACAACAATGTCTACTCCAGCAACACCGAAGAGCGAGGAATACAACTTGGAACGCTATCTCAGAACTATTCATAAGTTACGTAAAGTAGGCATTGCTAATGCGGCATTAGAGTCTCTTTAAGTTAATGCACAAAGACGGAGCGAAAGGCGTGTAGAAGAAAATACAGCTTCCAAGTAGGTATGCAAAATTATTCACAAAGACTTGTTGTTAGCAACTGTCGTTTGGTCGCGAAAAAAAAGTACCTATACGTAATTCTAAAAGAGATTGTTATTAATATAATAACGGTACAATAATTCGCTTCGGTAAAAAGAGTCGCGCGCGCGCGCTCGAGAGTGAAAGAGAGAACGGTACAAAATGCGCTCATTTTATTGAACACTCGGTATTTTTGAGTACCGAAAACGTTCCCTGTCACTCTTTTGTTAATGCTTTGCGACCGCAATACGTGACGGCGACGAAGCGCTGTCATTCCTGCAGCTTGCGTGGCTCCAGCCACAATGCGGTTTACCCGCACTTAATGCGGGCTCTGTCCCGAATTTTAAGTAAATTTGTGCCGCCGTAAAAGCGATATCACTGGAATTGCATAAAATTCAGCCGGGCTCGCAAACGTTCACGCCCGGAACCCGTCACTGCGGAATATGGTGAAACGACAAAATAAATAACACACGACAGAATGAGTGGAAGCCAGCCGGACATCTTGGGCCATAAATCGTTTGCGCGGATTTTTTCATTGTTGCTCTAGCATTTTGGCCTCGATCCTCCTATTCTTTTTTTATCGTTTCGCAAAGGTTGATTTGTGAAAGTGGCGTTTAACAATCTAATTGATCTGACGTTAATGATTATTCATAGCGACGAGCTTAATTATGTTTCTTCGGAAAAACCGATAAACGATTGTCGCTCAACCTGTTTAAAATACAACGTATATAACAGGTACAATTATTCACATATATAACTCGTCGATTGAGGAAACCTCCCCGATAATTGAATTGGAAATCATCCTCCCCTCTCCCATTCTGTCTCTGTGTCAAAATCATTCCGAACAATCGTCGACGTCACTCAAATTTATTATCGCTCGTACTCAATCGAGCACACACTCCACTCGTAACCGCGTACCGATCCGTCCTCTCAAACATCCAAATTAACACTTCGTCCATTATCTTGTTCCGCCCCAGTTGAGGGCAACATCTGTATAGCATGCGGAGGCTGTATTTGTATTTCCGCGTTAGCCGCCGGTGTTAAGCGCCATCGTATCGCTGTGTGCTTCGCGCCCCGTTCCCTTTAGATTCTTCGAGGGAAGAAAGCATCTCTTAGCCCAGTTCTTTCGCGCCAGAGATCCATTAAGTACTTTGCCCGATACTGCATTCGCCCGCGGAGCCCCGCATATTAGCGGGAAATTTCTCTATCAAGTTTCCCGGTAACCCCCCTCCTCCCCCCGGGTTGTGTTTTAACGTTACATTTTATATCGCGCTTCTCGATGAGGACCGCGCGGGTTAGCCGGTGGTTTCGACCACGCCGCAGAGCGAAATTACGAAAAATATCAATGCGATACGTTGCATATCGCGATTATTGCCCCATCGAGAGGATTAATCCAACGACTATTTGCGATGGAAACAACTCGTAACGCCGGAAATAGGCTCAGATAAATGGAACGATATGCACACGTGAAACGCCCCAGCCAGTTCACCTTTTTTTATGAGGCCGTACACTCTAACGTTCAATGCGCTCAAATGCCAAAGAGATATTGCAGCAGCATGCTCGGCAAAGATTGCCATTTTTCATTAAGTTTGTCAACAATGCAACGGCGACTAGGAGTGTGTCAGCCTTCCATCGACTGACTGTACATCAACTTTACTTTTTTTGATTCGCAGTTAGTTTGGAATATATTCCGAAATAGGGAAATCGCATATTCCGCAACTTCTGCATATTTGCCGTACATGCCGCGAATATTTGATGTGCTAATATTGTGAATTGTAAATATCTCTCCTCACACATTATTGTGTAATTGTACTCCCCCAAAAAGGTATGTATATATCTCACCGAATGAACGGTAACCACGCAAGATTAATAAATACTCCCATCAAGCTTGATTCAACGCTAAGATAGCAGAAGAGAAGTGACGCGCGATCTATCCGTTCGCCAGAAAAGATTTTTCGCGAAGATAGAATGAGAGAGAGAGGGAGGGAGAGAGAGATCTCACGTACTCGCGTCGTTAGGAGGAATTCATGTCAGTCGTGCCGCCCTATATTCTATTTTGTGCCCGAAGAGACCCAACGACATTTTATGTCACAAGCCGAAAACCCAGGTACGTTCTAGCGGATTACGGATGGAGCCCGCCGTGTTCCGTATCAAAACCATTTATCGAAACTATCGACGAGCGAGATTTATTGAATTCGACCGCACCGTTCCTCCCGCCCGTCCCGCTTTTTTTTCCGGAGGTGGCAACGCGCAACGCGCTCTCTAATCCGCAGCGAAAAACCCTCGATTCGTACCTGCATGGTATATACTGTCCAATCTCGTCAACCCCCGGGAGTCTTTCTGCCTTTTAGTTTTTGTTTTCTCCACCTTTTTTTTTACGTCCCGTGTCTTTGTTATGCCCTGAACATCGAGTAAATGTGAAGTTGATCGCTCGCACTTTGATAATTGCTCCTCGACGACAGATGATCGATCGTGCCTCGCGCCCCGCTGGAAATTATGGGAATATATCGTCTAGTTTATTTAGCGTTCGCGAATCCGCGAAATTCGATAGAAACGCCGGTGGGGAACTCGGTATAACTAATTCGCTTATAGAATAGACGCTTAACAAATTCCTCCAAGATGTATTTGCTCGACGTATTAACAGAAATCACAACGCGGCAAATTCGTCGTAATAATTCACATTTCGCTTCGAATCTCGCCTTCTGCAAGTGAGATAACGGACCAGGTCGGACAGCGCGAATAGTTAAACAATGATAAGTTTTTAAACCCGGTAAAAGTGTAGTTGGCACCGATTCAATCGGCGCGCTTATCGCGCCCGGCGCGGCGTTTCCCGTTGGTAAATTTTTTCGCGAGGACAACCAACGCACGAACGACCGGTATTTCTCCCCGCCCGCGCCGCGCCGTGTGGACGACCGCGGAAATTATTAATCCTCATTTCACTAAGTGCACGCTGGAGCCGGTCGGCGCGCGACGGGGCGTTGTATGTTTGTGCCGCTTAAGCAGCCTGCCGCGCCGGTTATTCCGCTAATACCCAAATCGCGTTACGGCGAGAAGTCGCCTAAACGTAATATACGCACGGATAATCTTTATAATTTTCACGTATCCGCGCGTGGCGTGCGCGTTTATCTCCGCTGGAGCGCCCCCGCGATAAAATGTGCCATTAACTTATCTAATTGGGTTAAAACATTTCCCGAATTTATCGCCTTTTTTTCACGCTTATTGTACGAACGCGTTCTACAATTCCGCCGTAGTGCGCCATCGAGAACTCGCTGACAGGGAGGGAAAAGAAAAAAATTTATGAAAATGCGAACTTTCTCGCGAGCGTGGATGGCCGGTCGCGTCGGCGCGGCGTCATCGGCGACGCCGGCAACGGGATCGACCCCGGGAGATGACATTTCCGGTATTATCGTCGGCGTAGCGTTATCAGCGACGTCATCGGAAAAGCGTCAACTGTAAAAGGATTCGCGTCGGCTCGGGAGCCGTTTCGCATTTTTCATATCTCTCGCCCGGGCGTCGCGTCGCGTCGCGCGATATTTCCTGAAGCGACCGATACGTATCTCTGGACAATCGCGACCCCGCGCCGCGCGCCGGTGACACGGAAAGCGAAACACGAAATTTATCCCGATAGCATCAAACGCTCATTACCAGAAACGAAGCCAATTATATTCCCACTTTTTTCCCCGGTGTAATCGCGCGCAGTTTGTTGCGGACGCGCTCCCGGCGAATTTTATAAAAATATTAAAAATTGCTCCGCCGCGATTGCACCGCGTAAAAAAAAAAAAAAAAAAAAAAAAATAGCGAGAGCTTCCGTCGCGCACGGAAAACCGCACGAAATTCCCGTGCGATTGATCTGGAGGACTACCTTAATTGTTTGCCATGTAGAACCGCGTAATTATCGGATCAATTACGAGCGACGAAGATTACACAACGGTTGGAAAGCGACCAGATCCAAGGAGATATCGAGAAACACGTCGCTGTCCCCGATTTCTGGGAGAGTATTACGGCCGGATT